TCGGATATTTATATTTCTATTTTTACCATGTGATAAGTGCTCTGCTTGTGTAACCAAACGGCACAACCCGCATAAACATTCTCTCGAAGGCGGCGGGCCGCGGTAGGAACTCCCATCACAAAAGAAAAGCAAAAAATGTTTCGACAGAATCAAGTTGTGTACATATAAAAGCACACAATCTTTACATAAATCTCAGCTCCAACTATAAACAAATAGAATGAGAAGGAAGCTGACAGATCTTGTATATCTATATTTATATATCCAACAAATCGATCCGTGAAAGGACTTAAAAATGCTGGCTTACGCCTATGGGAGAATTCCGAACGCATCCGCCTATGATGTGCAAGTACAGCGCGAGGCACACAGTGACTATAACAGAGGATTTGGCTCCAACATATCCAACTACTTGTCGTCCTCTGTCTGTCACCTCTTCATGAACCACATTGAAACTTTTTTTAAACCCTTGTAATGTCTTTAACATTATAAATCCGATGATTGATCTTGCAGTTTCCAGTGTTACTCTTCCTGTTACATCGAACATAAACCTTCGATTACTCGGAACTGCCAATGTAGTCGAGATAGCATCAGTCCACCCGCTACTCTTGATCCCGTCTACTGATTCCGTCTTCCTTCTCGAGGAACCACCGTTAATCTTGAAACCATCTTCTTCTTCTTCGATCTCTTCTATTACATTATTAGACCTTGAAGAAGAAGATGTAAAGACTTGGTGAGATGTTCTAACCAAAGTTTCTAGAGCACCATTACAAACCGAAACAAGAACGTCTTTGACACTATCTTGATGTTTCGGATTCGTTAATCCAGCGAAGATTTCATCATAAGTGTTGATGTCCATCGTCTTGTCGAGATACACAGCGACTGCCGTGCTAGTGAATCTCTGAATACAATCAGCTAAAAGCTCTCTACACTTATCATTACAAAGCAAACTAACCCATCTAGGTGTCGTCTCTGAAGAATCAGAATCACATTTCACATCATCATCAGAGTAAAATCCAAGAACAAGATTCTTAGCAAAGCTACCAACTACAACTGAAACAAAACCAGATCCAGATTTTGAGAAAACCTTTTCAATAACTTTATCAACAACACTAGACTCCGATCCAATCCTTGAATCGGCAACGTTACTAGATTCTGAATTGTATCCATTAAAGATCCCAATCGTCATAGCCTGAGAAACCCTAGAGAGCGAATCCGTGAACTCATTCGATTTGGCGATCTTCGAAATCTGCTTCAAGCTGTTTGGGATTTCATCGGAATCGGAATTGAGAAAACCCTTCAAGTCTCGTGACACGATGCTTAAGGTCTCGGCTGATTCATAGACCAATTCAGCTACAGAGACAAAAGCTCCGAGAATCTTCATGAGTCGTTTCCTCTTCCTCGTGATAGATGGTAAATGATAAACCTTGTAAACTCCATAACCAGAAACTCCAGAAATCGCCATCAAAATCAGCCATTTCCTTCTTCTCTGAGATGAAAAGAGACCCTTTTCTCCAAATCGAACAAGGTCCATTCAACAAACAGAAATATTGAATCTTCACCAATTGCAAAAATCGCAGCTTTCAAGGAACCCAGAAAAGGGATCACAGAAATTTAGGGTTTGTGATTACGATCCGAGAATCGGTAATACGATTCGGAATCTGTAATTGAGCATAACATGAATGGTGACAGATCATTTAATTAGGAGATAAGAAGAAGATAAGGGTAATAGCAATGCATGAAAATGAAATTGGCGTTGGGAGAGAGAGACGAGAAATTGAAGAAGCTTTGGAAGAGAGAGAACAAGAGGACAAGTTGGATTACAAAATCAAATAAACATATTATTATTATTATTTTGGTTCGGTTTCATTGGATAATGAAATATGTGCAATAACGACCTTATCGAATCTTTTGACGGTTCTCTTCTGGTGGAATATATATTTTTTTTTTTATCAAAGCTTTATTGCAATTTGCAAATTTAAAAGGATTTTATATAAGAAAGAGTTGAAGGAAAAAATCTTCTACATTAATTTAATAGCTTTTCGTTTTCTTATAATATTTTTTTTAGTTAAGTGAATTTTTGTTTTTCAACTAAATAGAATTAATAGGCTATTGACTGACATAGTGTCAAATTAATACTATAATTCTTCATTTTCTACTAACATTGAAACATATTCATCATCAAATTCACCAGGTGAGGTAATTTGATGACGTCGGTCGTTGTGATCATATTGGATATGTTGATGTGTAGAATGAATTTTTGTGGATATGTGAGATTTGGAATTGTGTGCGGATGTGGCATTGGTCAATATCCATTTGCGGCTATGGTGTGGGTTTTGCCTGAAAAACAAAAACAAGAGGCTCAAAAAGTAAAGAGGTTAGGTTTTCAATAAAAAAAACAAATTGAGAAAATATTTTTCTACTTGTGAAAAGTTGGTAATTACAAGGGAGTTAAATAGCATAAGCTATATTTACGAAAAGGAGTGAATATTAACATTCATAATACACAAGACAATATTATGCGAAGATGATTGGGATGGTTGATATACGGATAATATTTGATATTCTTAATATACTTTAGTTATGTTTTTATAATCTCGATATATAGTATATAACGATTAATTTTGGAAACCATTTTTTGTTTGTCGAAAGATTAATTCATTAAATTAGCCGGTTGAACCGTAACCGGTTGGTACATAGAGAAAAGCTGATTTCGCTAGATAGTCAGCTTCTTCGTTCTTAGATCTAGGAATATGAACAAACACAACATCCAAATCCTGAGAAATTTTGATGATATCCTGTATAATCCCGTAGATCTCTAAGTGGAAGCTTTTGTTGAGGATGAGATTGATCAGTTGGTTGGAGTCTGAGGCCATTGTAAAGCCCGAGAGGTTCCTCAAGGCTGCTTGTGATAGTGCTTCCCTCATAGCCGAAGCCTCTCCCATCAAAGGTGATCCGATTTGAGTCTCCATCTTACATCCTTGTATAATTGTTCAGTCGTATAGATCATTCCCGATCCAACCTAGACCGGCTGTATTCGAGTCCGATCTCCACGCGGCGTCCGAGTAACAACGGAGTCCTGTGATCTCTGTTGGATTGATTAGTCTTTGATTTTCCTTTGGAGTGTGATTGTCTTGAGCTGAAAACCATTCCTTCGCATCATGGATTACCTTCGTGACCGTCTCTAGTGGCGAGAAGACTCGATTTTGGAAGAGTTTTTGGTTTCGAGATAGCCACACGGACCAGGCTAGCCATGGGGCCAACGCTCCTTCGCTCATTCCCGTTGGGGCAGGCAAATCATTTGGTTTGCACTGAGTACTATCGCTTGGAAGTTTGTGATTGCTTATGTGGAGATGATATCTTTGAAAGGGGCCAGCTCCCACACTTCCTGAGCATATGGACAGTGGAGGAGAAGGTGATCCACCGTTTCGACGTCTCCACAGCGGACACATTGAGTCTGTGCTATAACTCCTCTCGAAGTCAATTGCTCACCGACGGGTAAGGCTCCTCTTAAGGCTTTCCATAGGAATACTTTTATCTTGTGTGGAGCTTTAATATTTCAAATGCAAGAATTCCAATTGAAAGAGTTTAGTGCACCTTGAATTGCTAGGCNTNGGNTAGATTCTCTGGCTGCATGGTATCCAGATTTNGCAGTGTAGATCCCAGATGTGTTCCCAAGCCAAACCCTTCTGTCCCAAGCCCCAGTTTTACTTGGTTTCAGGTTAGTTATAGCCGTTTCATAGCTTGGGAGGAGTTGTTTGATTTTCTGAGTGTCCCATTCTCCTGAATTGGACAAGATTAGATCTGAAACTAACATGTTTCCTGTTT